CTTGAGCTCAGTGTTTTAGGTCTGCACCCCACGTTGGGTGTAGAGATTACTTAAAAATAAAATGTACTGGGGTGCTGGGTGGCTCAGTTGGTTGACATTGACTTCAGCTCAGGTCATGATCTCATGGTTTGTGAGTTTGAGGCCCACATCAGACTCACTGCTGTCAGCACAGAGCCTGCCTCAGATCCTCTGTTCCCCACTCCCTCAATCCCCCCCACCCAGCACTCATGCTCTCTCTCAGAAATGAATAAACATTTTTTAAATGTACTAATGAACAATAAAATCATAATGCCAACATTAAAAATTCTCAATCACAGCCTATTAATAACATTTGAATAAAGCTATTTTTATATTATTTAAAGATGAATGGCTTTTTTTTTTTTTTTAGTTTATTCATTTTTGAGACAGAGCACGAGTAGGGGAGGGACAGAGAGAGACGGAGACATAGAACCTGAAACAGGCTCCAGGCGCTGAGCTGTCAGCACAGAACCTGATGCGGGGCTCGAACCCACGAACTGTGAGATCACCTGAGCTGAAGTCAGATGCTTAACCAACTAAGGGTGACTACCCAAGCGCCCCATGATAAATGGATTTCAAAAGGGCATGATGAATAGATAGGTGACCTCAGGAGAGCTCTGCTGATTAGTATTATCTTCATAGGAGTAGATCTTTATAGAAGCAAAGTATGGAGAATAGTCCTTCACAGGAAAGTATGTTGACAGAAAACAATGTGTAGTTAAAAAGAAAAAAATCAAGTCTGAATTAAAGCTGAACTGGCTTCATATCTGAGTTTTGCCAACTATTAGCCCTGCAACTTTAAGAAGAATAGTAATCATCTTGCAAGGCTATTACAAGGATTGATAATTACACAGGTAAAATGCCTAACATAAGAGCTCAAATATTAACTGCAATTTATAGATGAGAAAACAAGGCCACATGATTTACCCAGGATTAGAAAGTAGAAAAGTAAGCCAGAACTTCTTTATTTCTAGCAATACTCCTTAAAGTCTACTTGGCCTGATATTAAATATAATAGCTTTGTTATAATTAGTATCTACATTGTATAGGTTTTCTCACCTTACATTTCCAACCTAACTGGATCTTTATACTTCAAATGCCCCTCTCGTAAACAATATAGATCAGTTTTTCTTGTTTATCCAATCTTTTTTTTTTTCTTGTCTTACCTTAAACAATTTTAATTACAAATGGGGAGAGGGTGGAAGGAATGAGGGAGGCCGGTAAAGGGAGTACAGTCTGGCTCCTAGAAAGTGGCAGCTGAGTTCATGCCACACTCTTGAAAATATCAGTGGATGAGGTGAGGGTGGGTTCTGGAACCTTTCTAAGAAGAGTCTCTACCTTCTGATTAGTGTTTAGTCTGTTTACATTTAACGTAATCATTAATATGACAAGTTTGTCTACCTTTTTGTTCGTAATGTCTCAATTGTTGTTCAGTTATTCTTCCTTATCTACATTCTTTAAGGTTAAGCCTATTTTTCAGTAGTCTATTTTATCTCCTCTATTGGTGCTTTTTTTCTTTTAATGTTTATTTTTGAGAGAGAGAGAGCATGTGCACAAGGAGGGGGACAAAGGATCCAAAGCAAGTTCGGCACTGACAGCAGCGAGCCCAATGCAGGACTCGAACCAACAGAACCATGAGATCATGACCCAAACCGATGTCAGTCACTCAATCAACTGAGCCACTCAGGCACCCCTCTTTATTTATTTTTAACCTGTGCAGTGGTGCAGGGGGGAGAGAGGGGGCCGGCTCTGATTATAGCAGAGCCTTGGCATTTCCAGGGGATGGAGTCTGAAGGTATGCTGACATGGATACAGAGTCATCCTTTGATGAAAGGGCAATAGTGACATACATAGTTGGCCCTGGGACTCAGTTCTATATGTATTCCTACTGAGTTTTTAGGAGACCTTCATGAAGATAGCTGCAAGGAATTCCCTGCTGGCCAGGACACATCTCACAATTGCAGATGCTGCATGTTACCCATGGGGAAAGTCTGAAATTGTAGAGTCATGGATCTTGCTTGGTTTTCTACCATTGCTTTAATAATCCCAGATAGGATGCTCTGGACTTGCCCAACAAAGCATTTACTCAAAATTACCTCTCTTCTGGTTGCTGTTGTCAAATTAAGATTAAAGGGATGGGAATACCATGAATCTTGGTGGTGTTGGTGACAGTGCTGGATAAAAACAGCACCTTTAATTCTTAGTGCTATAAATCTAGAAGTATGCTACTGAGGGTATACCAGACATTCATTGTTCAACAGATACTTGTATGATTCCACCTGTACTGTGATGTGAGGATATTAGGAAGACAGAGAAATATGTATTACCTGACACTGTCTTGATTCATGTTTTCTTCTTTGATTCATATTGTCACTGAACAAAAATTTACTGAATACCTGCTCTGTGCCAGGCATTATACTATGTAACTGGCATTATACTAGGTAATTATATTAGTAATTGTAACTTCTTAAGGCAGTTAAAATAGCTAATAAATGCTGATCTCTTTATAGCTTCTTTACTCTAGATCTGTACAGAATTTCTTTTCCTGTCACATGAAAGGAACTATGTTACCATTAACTCATACTATCGGGGTCCTAATTTTCTAGTTCCTTCCACTACTCTTTATCACTAGCTTGCTTTTCTCCGGATATTTTTATTTACTAATGGCACACTTCAATGGAGGAGGTTGGGAGTGAATACAACATTCCAAAAAAGGCTAGGCGCATAGCAGAATGGCCTCTCCTTTAATTTTGTACATTACATTACTATTAACGCAGTCACCTTACAGTTTTGAGGTTTTTAATGGCTAGAAACTTAAAACGCTATATGCACCACAAAAAGGTAAGGCATATCTCCCTCATCCTAAATTTAATCATTTGCATTTCTCAAGTCTCACTCCTAACTTCTCTTGAACTCTGTATTTATTTGCTTATACAGGATGAAGGTCAAGTTCATTGGCACACTAGCAAAGCTCTTTCTTTTTTGGCGTTTTGTAGGCTATGCTTTTCCCATTGCTTTGTTCTGTAGTGACACTTCGATGCTTGTACTTTTCTTGAATTTATGTCATGTCTCTTTGACTTTGAAGTTCTCCCAATGCCTACCTCCCAGTCTTCTATTTATCTCTTTTAGTTCTGCATAGGCATTACTTCTTATGAAGGCTTCTCTACAGTTACCACTCCTTCTCTATTTCATTCCTTTTTTTCTTTTCTATTTCATTCTTATGCATGCATCTGTTATTGCAGCTATCACCTTACTATGTAAATATTTCCTTGTCTTTCTTATTAAGGTGTGAGTTCCTTACAGCCAGGAACTAGATCTTATTCATCTTAGTATTCCTAATGCCTAGCACACATTCTGGCATATAGTGTGTTCTCACTGAATAGTAAACTACTGAAATAGGACGAACATGAAAAGGATATGATTGACTTTTGGGATCCTGCTTTTGTCATCTTAATACTAGCTGTTTTAGCTTGGCGTCATTTGCAAATGTAATGAACATCATTCCATTAACACTGAGTGTCCCAAGGTTTGGAATTATGTCATATTCATCTCTATATTGCTAGTATCTAACTCAGTGCCTGCCAAATACCAGGTTAGCAGTGTTTACTGAACTGAAGCAAACTAAATTGAAATTAATGAAGGGCACTCATGCTGCAAAGATACTATATAACTAGTAGCATTCTTTATTTCTGTATGTTATTTTAAAAATTAATAAAAAGTTTTGTCAGTTGCCTTATTAAAATCCAGATTTAGGGTATATATATAAATTACTAAGATTTAGGTCAAATTACTAAAAAATCTTTTGGCATCATTTATTATAATGGTTATACATTTCTTTCCAAGGATTTATAAAGCAGTAACTCTTCAGTATTTGTTTTAAAACTTGGCATGAATTGATGTCAAGGTAATAGTGGTAATTGTCTTAATGTTTTTATCTTTTTTCCTCTTTTGAAGTGCTCCTAGCATTCTTTCTATTAAACAAAAAAAGTCCCCAAAGATGTCCTGTTGTTTGTGTGGATATTACTGGCAAGATTTTTCAGTACCTTTGCAGGTACTTGGTATGACACATAAATTTCCAGATTCAAGAAGCTCTGTGGACATCGAGGAGGATTAATACTAAGGAAGTCATATATAGGCAGACCATAATCACATTGCTGAAAACCAAAAATGAAAAGTCTTAAAGACATTCCTTGAAGAGAACATGACAAGAATAGTAATTAACTTCCCATAAGAAAAAATGGAATAAATACAGGAAAAAATGGAATAATATCTTACAGTATTGAAAGAAGAAATATCAAACTAGAATTTTATATGTAGCAAAATTATCCTTCAAAAGTAAGAATGAAGACATTTTCAGAAAACATAAGAGTTTGTTGTCAACAGACCTACACATTATAAGAAATGCTAATGGCAGTTCCTTAGGCTGAAGAAAAGTGATACCAGATGGAAATGTGGATCTCTGGAAGAAGTGAAGAGCACTGAATGTGGTGTGTGTGTATGTGTTGCCTTTTTATTATTTCTTTTTTTTAATGTTTTTATTTATATTTGAGAGAGACAGCAAACAGAGCTTGAGTGAGGGAGAGGGGCAGAGAGACGGAGACAGAATCCGAAGCAGGCTCCAGGCTCTAAGCTGTGAGCTGTCAGCACAGAGCCCGATGAAGGGCTCAAACGCACAAGCAGCAGGATCATGACTTGAGCCGAAGTCAGATGCTCAACGAACTGAGCCACCCATGTGCCTGGCCTTTTTATTATTTCTTAAAGAACATTTGACTAGCACAAAATACACTATGGAGTTTTATATATCATGTAGAAGTAAAATATATGACAACAGCAGCTGAAAGAAAATAAGTAAATATACTTTCTCATAAGGTTCTTATATACAATGTAGTAATACTAACTCAAGGTAGACGAATTAAGTTATAGATACATAATCTGTAGAACAACCACTAATAAATAGAACCATAGTTAAAAAGCCAATAGAGATGCTCGCTTCGGCAGCACATATACTAAAACTGAAACGATACAGAGATTAGTATGGCCCCTGCACAAGGATGACACGCAAAGTCATGAAGCATTCCATATTTTTAGGATGTGCTTTATAACTTCCTAAGGTTTTAACAAACTTCCCAGAATGTGAATGGTAAAAGAAGTCTTTTGACCAATTAGGCCCTTTCATTTAGGATGCTAAGTTACTTGGCAAAACACTGTTGCACAATGGTAAACCTTAGGTTGTACTGCACGGGTAAATGCTGCAACTGCCCAAATATATATGCAATTCCTAAAGTTTTAATGTTTTGGTATAAGGTTATCATTTAATATTCTGATTACTTGAAATGTTATGTGTCACTGAAATAACTAAATTTGTCAATTGCATAATAAACTCTTATCAGATCTTTAACAATGTCCATTTCTGAGATTTTGTCATTTATAATTGTTCTCATTCTCTCACAAAATGAGTTTCTTCTTCAAAGAGATTTATAAAAAGGACTTTTGAAACAAATACAGGTAATTGAAATCTTTAAGATTAATACTAAAATGGGTAAGAATTTCCAGAGCTAAAAAATTGCATTTAAACTGAACAAGAATTAGGAACATGAGACTAAATGAACTGAGGAAGATTATAGTTTTGTGACTTTTGTTAGAAATATTGCTGGTTCTCTAATATTTGCTTATCCAGATTAAGAAAACATTTTCTTAAAATATCTACGATATACAGAAATGTCATAAAGTATTCATTTGTAAACTGAGGCATTTATCTTTTCTTTCTACCTAAACCCTCTGAAATTCAAAATCTCCCAGTGAGTATTCTTTCTTTCATGGCAATTACAATTGTTTGCATAAGTTCAATAAGAATCTGTTCATCTTTTAACCGGAACAATTACTATTCTTGCTGAGCTTATGTAAATAATTAGGCCAGGATTAAGACTGGACTTGTTCTACAAATGCATTGGTCTCAAACTGGCTATCTCTGGAAATGAAGGTTTTTAGAGAGAAAAACTATGTTTCAACAACGCACCGTTATGGATGTTAAATTCTAGTTCTGATTGTCTTTAAATGTTTGTTGTTTGCCTAAATTAAACAACTTGAGGTAACCTTCAAAAAAAAATTGTTACAGTATTTCACAGATACACAATCTTCTGTGATTGTTATTCTGTGGGGATGATAATAAGACCCCTTGGGCATATGATTATTTAAACAACAGGAAAACAGGATGGATCTCTAAATATGCAAACCATATCCTCCCTAGACCTGATCTGACATTTACTAGAAACCCACCCCATATAAACCCAGGATATCTGGTTTACTTGAAGGATGGGGGTCACCCCTTTCCATGACTTAGAGGTGGACTACACAGATATACAACCAAACAAAGGATCCAGCTCTTAAAGTTTCAGGCATCACCAAGAACCCTCAACCTGGTGAGGTGATCCAGATCCAGTCAACCAGCTTAAACTGACCCTCAAAAGGACACTGGCCCCTGAGATCTCCAGACCTGTTCCAGCCACACCCCAGAAGCTGGCTGGTCTATGCACAGCAGAAACTTGAGGAATCACTGGTCCAATAAGATAAACTTACTCTTTGCCATCGGATTGGCAAACGTTGCCCCAGAAAGCTGGGGAAATAGCGAAATGTTCTGTTGGCATTAATTGCCTCTAATCTGGACAATTAGATTTGTAAGAACAGAGCACCTTCAATGGAAGAGTCTGTTAAACTAACCCTTCCTTGGTATGATGATTATGGGTGACAGGTTGTACAGAAGATTAATTCTGCTCTCATGCACCCAAGGCAATTAGTTGGGGCTCTAATATTGGGCATTACTGCACTAATTGCCATTATAGGGTCTGTGGCTGCGTCTATCGTCTCTCTTGTTCAGGAGGTACATATAGCCCAACACATTAACCAACTAACAAAAAATGTCTCTTTTCTATTGGCTACTAAAGAAATAACTGACAGAAAATTAGACACTCAGGTCAATGCCTTAGAAGAGGCAATATTATTTATTGGCAATAAATTAAATTTTCTATTAAAAAAAAGCCAACAGAGGAGGAGCACCTGAGTGCTCAGTCAGTTAAGCGTCCAACTTTGGCTGAGGTTATGAACTTACCCACTTTGGATCTTCTGTGTCCTTTCTCTGTCTCTCTCCCACTCGCATGCACGAAACCATCTGGTTGTTTACTGGTATATCAATATTTTTATCTTGAAAATTAAAATTACTCCCAGATTATAGGTAGAATTTATGATCTAAAAAAAAAATCTTTAATCTTGAGCTTCCTGGGTAGCTCAGTCACTTAAGTATCCAACTTAGAAGCATCCGACTTTGGCTCAGGTCACCATCTCACAGTTCATGGGTTCGAGCCCCATGTTGGGGCTGTGCTGACAGCTCAGAGTCACTGAGCTTTCTAATTCTATTTCCCTCTCTCTTTGCCCCTCCCCAACTTGTTCTCTCTCTTTCTCTGTGTGTGTCTCTCTTTGTTAAAAATAAAATTTTTTTAAAAAATCTTTAATCTTAATAAAAATACACTTCATTTTGGCATAATCCACCTTGTAATTTTACATACTCTTCATGCATGTGTAAGTGGGAAGACTAATAACTTATGCAGTATTTCTCTTTTCCACTCAGTTTTGCCAGAGTATTTACTACTTTATCCCAAATTAATCACTAAATAATGCTTTCCTCTTCTAAAATACAATGTACTTTATTTTTTGTTTGTTTGTTTAAGTCCAAGTTACTTAACAAAAATGTAGTAAAAACAAAGTTCTTGATTATACTGGAATTTAAAATAAAATTAAAAAATAAAATAAAATAAAAAGATAAAACAAAGTTCTTGTGTTTCAACCTTGAGCCAGCCTGCCCTGGCTGGAATCAATTCTATTATTTTTGCCTCAATATCATTATTTTTGTTTCAATCTCCGCTATTGGGACCTGAGGAATATACCCAAAACTGACAGTACTCCCAGAAAAGTGAGGCTAAAATATATTTTGTATTTTTATTATGTATATTATGCATCTTATACATAGACAGCATAAATACACACTTATACCAACACAATACAAATACTGGTAAATGTAAAAGAGAGTTTAAAAGAAAAAAAGCAGAAAAAGGATAATCTCTTGCTAAAATAATCCTAACAGCAATAGTACCTAAATAGTACCTAAATAATCCTAATAGCAACCACTGCCACATATAGCTTTAAAATAGAAGTCATTTAAATTAACCCCTGTTTTTCATCTTTTGATCACTCTATTAGTCTCAGTAAATCCAGGGACACCAGAAAAACTCTGTTTTCCTTATTTTTGTGTTTCACAAAGCTGCAAAAGGATGAAGGAATCCAAAAATAACTGGATGCAGCTTTGATTTTTTTTTTTTAAGGCAACCTTGTAAAGTGCAGTACTTACTAATTTCTTCCACTGTTGTAATCATAATGATAGAGAAAAGGAAACATGGGAGAAAAGGAGACGACACTAAGAAAAACAGGCCACATCCTTATAATTTTTTGAAATTTCATTTTCTATTTAAAATTCATGCAAATTTCACATTTAATTCATAGTAACTGTTTTTAATTTTTAAAAACCACGTATTTTTAACTTACTCTAGTAAATTGAGAAATGTGCATATAATAGATCATAGACTTGACTTTGGAGTAGAGCAAACTAGAGTCCCAAACACAGCCTTGTTATGACTACCTACCATTAGATAATTACTTAATGTCCTTACACCTCCACTTTCTCATCTTTAAACTGGGAATAGTAATAATGGCTATCACAAATTGAATGGTATATACCAATTAGATTGGATAATGCAGATAAAATATTAATCACATAGGCCAAAATAATGCTGAGTAAACGTTAGTAGTTATTATAATTACCATCTCTAAAAATCAATTTATACAATGAAGGACAGCCTAGTTTATAGGCTGGTAAGAACTGTGAAGGATCTAATATTTTACTCACTTGCAAGCCAACAATTTAGCATGTTACAATTTTAAATACGCTAGAAGAAGGCACAAGACTCCTAGATCAAGAATAAAGTACTTTATTACTCACAATAATCAGCATTTTCTTACGTGGGTTCCCAAGTCCCATTTCTCACACGGTGATACAGAGTAGGCCAGGTGACATCTGCACATGCAGTAGATTGCAATAAAGGAACCATGAGCTTAGGAAACATGAATCTTTTATAATGGACAGTGAGCATGGACACCTTTGCTTTGGAGGGAGAAAGTGTCTTTATCTTCCAAGCTTCCAAGCAACTTGTCTTTTGGTCCAGAAGGAGACATTATCTAAGCTGGTCACGATAAATACCCCTGAAAAAATAGTTTAGAACAATCTGTGTCTCTATTCATAAGATGTGCCAAAATATGAGGCACAGAGACTTGTCTCTCTCACTTCTAACCATCTTGGCTGCTGACAAAGTTTCTCATGAGTATATGATTCTCACAGCCACTCTGATTATTCTGACTGACAAGGGGCTGGAACTAAATTCATTCAATTTGTTTCATACAGCATTTCATTAAAATAGCTATCTATAGGCAGCAGGGTAAGATTAACCTTCATAATTGATTTCAACCATGTTTCTCAGAGTCCTACCCCCAAATAAGTTGAAGAAATCCCATAAAACATTAGGGCCTACCTCAGAAAGTCTGGCAGCTCTGTCCCTAAGTTCTGTGTGAACTTTTCCAATTGGCCCAAGGCATCAATCCAGGAACAAGAGAATGTATTAACAATTATACAGACTCTGCTTCAGCCTACAAGGAAGAAATCTAGGGCATTTCATCATCCATAACAATGCTGGTGAGTTGTGGCTAATCTGAATGCTTTCCAGGGCCAGGGTATGTCACTGATTATGTCAACCAAAAAGTCAGGAACAAATTTTGAACCACCTATTCTAAGTGAATAAATTCCTTGACAGAGATAACTGTCGACAGGATGTGCATAAATAACAAATTGGTTATGACTCTGGAAAGCTTCACCAAGAAATCAAGGATATTGTCATTTTAGAGAGACTTCCATAGTTAACTGAAGACTATAAGATCTTCTGATGGTGTTCTGTTAAACACTCAAAGGTGCCAAGAGTCCATATTTTT